ACTGGTTTTCCGCCGTTTCAAAATAGGCTGTCAATTATTTGTTGGTAATAGAATAAATTTGTTTTAGCAACTTACATGTACGCATATACGAACATGGCGACACCAAGTACTACAGAGGAAGCTTCAAATCCCAGAGTTTCCAGGACGACAAGTGAAGAGCATGGGTTCACGAGGGATTGGGTTGAGAATCATGCAAGTAGGGTCGCTGAGAGACAGGTTGAAGTTCACAATGTGCCTACTGGGCAAGCACACACCCAGGTACATCATGAGGAGGAAGAACGTAAGTTTCGTTTTTTTTTAAGAGAACATGCCAGGATTTCAGAGGTCATTTCAGAAAAGACTGTGGCAACAAACATGTTTGAGTGTGTGAAAATTCAAATTTGAATGCATTTTTCTGGTTACTTGTTAATACTAAAGAATAAACTTTCTTTATCAGATATATGTTTTTGTCCTTTTCAAACTCAACACAGAAATTTATTATTAGTATTAGATTTTTCGTGAAATTACCTGAAAAATCATGAAAAACTAGCATAGTACTGGAACACCACCTACGATTAATTGGTCAAGGCAGACTTTCATAGATGATGACAGAAATAGAGAGCATTTTGAGTGACCTTTGAGCTAGCTCATTTAAGTCACCTTTTCCTACTGAACAACAAAAAATTGGATCAATATCGGTTGAGGCAGTATGAAGAAGAAGAAGCAATGAACTTTATTTAATAAATCGTCTGTGGATGACATATGTCAAAAAATGCTATAGTACACAACATTTAGTTCATTATTAATTGTCCACTGTCCCTTGTAGACATTATTTTATGCATAAATGATTTACCTGCCATAGTCAAAAAATGCAAAATTCAGATTTTCGCCGATGACACTATGATTTATATAAGTACTAAAAATATTCAGTCTGGTATCTCTTATATAAATGAAGACCTGAAGCTTGTCTCAAAATGGTTAGCATCTAACAGACTAAAATTAAATGCAAGTAAAACGAAAGCCTTGTTAATCGGAAAAAACAATGTACAAATGTTCAACTGAATATTGATGGTGAAGATATTGAATTCGTAGAAAATTATAAATACCTGGGGGTTTTTGTTGACTCTTGATTAATTTTTGATATTCATTATGAAAAAGTTATAAATAAGATTATTAGTAAAGTGGGATATTTATCGAGAGTTTCTGGATGTCTGAGTTCATATAGCAGAAAAATTATCTATAATACCATCATTCTTCCAAATTTCTTTTACTGTTCGACTATTCTATATTTAGCAAATAATTCCATTTTTGAAAGACTGCAAATTTTACAAAATAAGTGCATGAGAATAATCTAAATAAAGATAAATATACTCCAATTAGGCAAATGCTCAGCAAATTAAAATGGCTCAATGTAAAAAAATTTATCAAATATCTTGTAATGATATTCATTTATAAAGTAAAAAAATAATATATTTCCATCAAGTCTAACTAATTTAACATCATCAAATGTCGACCATCATTTACATAATACCAGAAATAAAGATGACTTCCATTTAATGAAAAAGTATAACATATGCTACAAATCTGTATTCCATCAAGGGTTGATTGAATATAATAAATTATACTCGGAGATAAAAGACCAGAAACAGAACAGAAACAAAATTTAAAGTAAAATTGAAAAATCACTTCTTAAATCTACAATTATAGGTTGCCCAGCATTTACATCATACACCATATGGCTTGAATTTACTAGTTCTAAGTTGTTTACAATTATTCTGTTTATGTAGCCAAATGTGCTAAATAAATCTTTCTACTACTACTACTACTATAATTTAAATCACAACAGTTGGCATATAGTAAATAAATAAAGAAAGCACCATCCATACATTATAGAGACATACGATTCTCTAAAACAAAATGCTGATGCTTTAAAAGAGTCTCATGTTCAAACGTTAAAGTATATATTATCGAGGTATGAAAACGCCAAACTTGTGGGGATCAGCCATAAAAACAATATTATTGCTTCATCACAATATTACAAAGGGTAGTATAAAAGTTTTGCAATACAGCTTTATTTATTGACTTCATTCAAAGTAATCTCTACATTCGATACACTTCTCCATTCGCCAAAACCAGCCCTTAAACCAGCTCTGCCAAGTTTCATCCGGAAGTGCGGCACACTCGTTGTTCAAAGCACTCTGAAGGTCCTCATCGCTAGAAAACCGTTTTCGTTTTAGCTTAATTTTAACATGCGGAAAGAGTGCAAAGTCGCAGGGATCATGATCTGGACTGTAAGTAGGGTGCTTAATAAGTTTCAGTCCAGTAGGTCAAATACTCAGTGCAGGCTGAAGCGTTGTCATGGTGGAGGTACCAAGTGTCGATTTTTGACTGTGGCCGCAGGTTTTTCATAGACTCTATGACTTTAGACGGGCATTGTTCCGTGTACCACTTAGCTGTGACTGTCTTATGTGTGCCGAATACGACACTCTCCACAATCCCACTCGATTTGAAAAATACAGCTATTATTTTTTTCTTAACAGATCGGGATTTTCTGACAGCTACAGATGTGTCCTCATCATCAAAGATCCAAACTTTGTTTTTGGTTGTTTGTTAATAATAGAGGCAAGTCTCGTCAGCTTTCACGGTGCTGTTCACATTCCGAAATTGCCCCTTATCAAACATTTTCAGCATTTTCGGCACCAAGTCGTTCGACGAGATTTCTGCTCTTCCGTCAGACTATGCGCTACCCAGAGAGAACAAAGTTTCCTTACGTGTAAATTGTCATGCAGAATTGAATGAATTGCTGGTGCATACAGGTGTAACGTTTCCTCTATCTGTTGGTATCTCACTCTCTGGTTTTCGTCAAGCATTTTCCTCACAGCAGTAATGTTTTCCTCTGTAACTGATGTTCGCGGCCTTCCTTCCCTCTCAGCGTCCTCCAGAGTGAAATTGCCTCTTTGAAATTCTCTGTACCATCTGAATATACTCGTACGTTGAGGACCATCATTCTTTAATGCAAGCGTCATATCTTATAAGCACTGGTCTATGCTTAAACCACGCGTAAGTTATACCGTAAAACTGCTCTTAGCTCACTACGTGACCACAATACCATAGACCGCACTTTACACTGTCAATACGAGTGAACAACTAAATCCACAGACGTGCTGATGGCGGCTACTATGCACTCATGTTCATGCCTCAACATGCAGTAACATGCAGCCTCCTGCGTCCGTTTGTTAAGTCATATTGCAAAACTTTTATATGTATATGCAAGCTACAGAGCTACAGATACTTTCAAGCACAAAAAAATAATTTTCAGCAATTGTGGAGTATAATTTGTTTCTTTTTGCAGGCGGAGTCAAATTGGGATTAGGAGATTTTATATTCTACAGTGTATTAGTTGGAAAAGCATCATCTTATGGAGACTGGAATACAACGTTAGCTTGCTTTGTAGCAATTTTAATTGTGAGTATGGAATTAAATCAAATGTAAAATCAAAAACAGTAGTTCTGTGATTATTATCCTCGCAGGCAAAACCAAACAAATAGATTTAGATAATGTAACTCCTGAAACTTATCATGTGGTTTTCATGTTCATAGGACTACATTATCTGGTCATAACAAACCACATATACTAAGTGACATATAAATCCGAACACCCAGTTTAAATGGTTTTATTTTAATAAAAGTTGGTGAATGTATTTATCTTACTGTAAATAACAAGTGAAAAAATTTTCAGCCTTATCAGTTGGACATTCCGGTTTTTATACTGCTTTTTTTTAATTCACTAACGCTCTAAAAATGAATATTTCAGCCGCAGTAAAGAATCAACGCTGGCGGATTTTGGTTCTTGACATCCTTTACGATCGGTTACGATGCCTAGAGTACGGAAACCTGTACGATTTCGTCAACTTAGGGAGTTTGATAGGGGCCGTATAGTGGGACTTCGGGAAGCTGGACTTTCTTTTCGGGCAATTGCAGTTAGAGTGCAAAGAAGTGTAGACACTTTGGTTACGTGTTGTCAGGCATGGCTTCGAGAAGGCCGTACGCAAAGAGCAAGGGGCACTAGACGCCGCCGTAGAACAACAGACCGTGGAGATCGCCGCCTAAGATTATTGGCCTTAAGGGACCGTTTCTCCACTACCAGGTCCATTGCAAATGAATGGTTTGCAGAACACGGAAGAGCTATTGGCATGCGAAGTGTTTACCGACGAATGAGAAGTGTTGGCTTGTTTTCATACCGGCCACACTGGGTCCTCCCTTTAACTCGAGAACACCGACGTAATCGCCTTGAGTGGTGCAGACAACGGTCACTCTGGGATCAGGAATGGAACAGTATTGTCTTTAGTGACGAGTCTCGATTTTGTTTAGGCATGCACGATGGTCGTGCCAGGGTTAGAAGGCGACGTGGTGAAAGGAGGAATCCACAATTTTTTGTTGAAAGACATGTTCATCACACTGTTGGAGTTATGGTTTGGGGTGCTATAGCTTATGGTTCCAGGTCACCTTTAATCTTCATCAGAGGTAACATGAACGCGCAGCGTTATATCCACGAAGTTCTAGAACCCCATCTTTTACCCTATCTTGACACCCTGGCAGATCCAACTTTTCAACAAGATAATGCCCGACCACATTTTGCAAGAGTCACAATAGACTTCTTTCAACATAATGATGTCACATTGTTACCATGGCCACCAAGATCTCCCGACTTATCCCCAATTGAGCACGTGTGGGATATGATGGGTAGGAGATTGCTCAATTTGCAACGTCCTCCTCAGACTCTAGAAGCACTTCGAGAGGAGTTGGTGGTTGCCTGGAATGAGATACCACAGGAGGACATTGATCAGAAGCATGCCTAGGCGCGTTGGAGAATGCGTAGCACATCAGGGTGCATCCACACATTATTAAAGTTCAAAGGGCTTTAAAGCAGTGCAATCATTTTGAAATTTTTATCATTTACTTATTATGCTTCATTAAGTACTTATACAAAATTTTATTAAAATAAAACCATTTAAACTGGGTGTTCGGATTTATATGTCACTTAGTATATGTTTTAATATTCTCTTTATTGTACGACATTGTGGCTGAAACGTATAATAAACAAAAATTAAAACATATATTTGATTTGGTTCTGCCAGACACTGGAGTCCTATGAAAAAATGCACTTTTTCAATTTCCTCTGTAACTATTTACTATTTTCTAAAATCGTTTTTATTTTTAGGGTTTATGTTTGACATTGCTACTGCTGGCAATATTCAAGAAAGCTCTGCCAGCTCTTCCGATTTCTATAACATTTGGACTAGTATTTTATTTTGCCACCAAAGAAATTGTCAGTCCTTTTACTGACAGTTTAGCTAGTGAACAAGTATTCATTTAATATTTAATAATGAATTCCGTTAGTTTATCCTACATATTTTATTAATTTAAATAGGAATTTTTAACACTTTTTCGATATGATGTACAAAAAAACAATAAACATTTTTGGTCAACCCATACATTGTTTACATTCTTCATCATATTCCAGTATCGTATTTGTTTCATCAGTAAAAACATAGAAATGTACATAATTACTGTTACAGCATCATTTTATACCTCAGACGAGTTTGAATTATGGTAAAATTATGATGTCCAATCAAAATAATATTAATTTGAAAGATACAACAAAAATCCAACAATACATAATATTTTGTTAACAATAAAAAGTAATTATAACTATCCTGCATTTTAATCACATTTCTCCACTTGATCTAAATTATAAATGCTAATCATTACCCATGTCAACAATTTGAACAATACTTTCAGGATTCTGTTGCCATGGGCAATAGTTTCTATTATTCATATCAAATGTTTTTGTTTGTCCACACAAATTACATATCCAACGAAGTCTTTTCTTCTTCATTCTTACTCTGCAGTTTACACCTGCCAACAGTAAAGTTTTGCATCCTTTACAGATCGTTCTTTTAGTTTCAATATCCCTAAAAGTTCAAGTATTGTATACTCTCATTATTGTTGTCTGAATAATTCAAAAAAAAATCTACAAAATATTTGATTTCTAATCACATCCAGTCAACTTTTCCAAAACAAGTAGCTAATCTGCAGTGACCCTGGCTGCTCCAATTCCTTTACCTTTTTTCATGACATACAGTAGCGGACAAAAGTTTGGAAACAAATATTAAAATTAATATGAACTATTTCAAATACCTAAATTAAAATTGTGAAGGAACAGATGATATAAATATGAAAGTCTACCTTTGGCTCCCGGACTAATACAGGGTTTATCTTATCAATATTCAAATTCTCTGAAAATAAAAACACGCGTCTTTTTATATACGACAGTTTTTGTAACGACAAAATTATGGAAACATTTCAGTTTTGCCGTATTTATTCGTTCTGCGATACTCTGATATTGCGTGCAATAAATATTAACATCAGTGAGAGTGGCAAAAGTAAAAGAATTTTCAAAAGATTTAAGAGACAAAGTAAATGAATTATTTAGAAGTGGTGTCAGAAATGTTGACATTTATCAAAGATTGAAAATGAACAAAGGAAGATTTCGAAAATTATTAGTAAATGTCAAGAATACGGATCAACAACAACGCGGCCCAGGTGCGGAAGACCGAAAAAAACCGATTATGTTCTGGATCGCTACATTAAACGAAGATCCTCGAATGCCAGTCACACATATTTTCAAAAGAATCGTAGAAGGGGGTGCCGAGAATTTTTCTGTCAGAACAGTGCAGCGATGCTTGGTGGATTTTGGGCTTTTTGATAGGCGTCCAGTGCTAAAGCCCCTCAGTTAACCAAAAAATCGTATTGCTAGGCTTGAATTTAACAAAACTCATCTAACCTGGACAGAACAACAATGGAACACAGTTTTATGGAGTGATGAAAGCAAATTTAATTTGTTTTTGTCTGATGGTACGGCATATGTGAGACGTCCAATACGAAAATGATTCGACAAAAAGTATCAGTTGCCAACAGTTAAGCACAGTGGAAGCAACGTCATGGTTTGGGGCTGTTTTTCTAGTTCTGGAACTGGTCCAATTGTTAAAATTGTTAGGAAAATGGATCAAAAACTTTACAAAGACATTCTTAATGAACACGTGCTCTCTTTTGCTGAACAAGAAATGCCTTTATGAGGGACATTCCAGCAAGAATAATGACCCCAAGCATACCTCAAAATTCGTAAAGGACTATTTAAGACTAAAAAATGTTAATTTTCTTACATTGCCTTCGCAATCCCCACACCTAAACCCTATAGAACATCTTTGGGAGCATGTTAAACGACAACTGACAAGAAAAACTTAAAAAAATAGGAACGATTTATTTGATTACGTAAAAATATATTTGGCAAAATATCCCAACAGACGTCTGTAAAAAATGTGTGTCTTCTATAAGCAATGTTGAATGCTAAAGGCTATGCTACCAAATATCAGCTAAACAGTATATTTTCTTTTTGTAGAGTTATTGTATTTAATTTTGTAATAAAAAATATATTTCCATACTTTTGTCATCTCATTTTTGGTCATAAAATAGTATGAAGGTATTTTAATGCTAGTCTATAGTACCACAGCAAACACAAATTGTCATTTGTATCCTCAAGATTGTAAGCTAACTTTATGAGAAAAAAATAGTCAATAAAAAGAATAAAAAATTAGTGCACTTTTTAAAAATTACTAAGAATGTTTCCAAACTTTTGACCGCCACTGTATATTTTTCTACTGAAACTTACATTCTTTGGACAGTTTTCTTTGAAATACTCTGCATAAGATTGATGTAATGTATTGAAGCTACATACTTCGAGTCATTTTCTGTAACTAGTGCATTTGCTGCCTGAAAATAAGAATATTGAAAATCAAATATACATACTTTTTAGGGACCTTTTGAAGGTAAGGCTTAAAATGATACAAATGCGTTGAATGAAAGTCAGTCAAAATGAATGTATGAATGCATTGAATGAAGTCCCTTGATAGAGAAAAAATAGGGATCTATTAAAAATACCTGATATAAATAATTCATCCTTTGGAAAGCTTCCTTCCCAGCACATTTTTTTACTTTACCGCTCATTTCGGTAGTTCATCCACACAGTAGGTCAAATACACTTTCAAAAATAGACCACCCAGCTGACGAAGACAGATGAAGGCGATTATAGCTGTCAAAAAATAAAATGTGAGGTTAAGTATCTATTTTGGTTTATTTATATTCAGATCATTTTCATGTTTCTAAAGTATTGCTGGAGCGACTAAATGTATTTTAAACTACCATGGACTTTTCTTGGGCTGAACCATACCCAGAGATCCACAAGATATGTAATCTTTTCCAACTTAGTGAAGTATCAAACCCAGTGAAATTTAGCTACAAATCTCTAAAAGTACTTCAGCAAATTGGCCCTCAGTGTGGGTTGGTAGCTTTAGCAATGTGCCTAGGTAGATCTGATAGAGAGACTGTTGACGAATTGTATAAAACTGCCAAAGATAAGGGTTACACTTATAATGGGGAAATGTTTAGTGTTCAAGATATGTTCCAATTAGCAAGTTATTTTTCACCAAAAAACACCTATGTCAAAATATATGAAGGAGATATGAACTGCAAAGAAGTGCAGGATTTTTTGTTGAAAGGTGGAATGGTACTAGTACCGTATCCTTTTTTTGTACTGAAGCTCCGAATTTAACCATGCAGTGATTAGAAAAAACTATGTTTCAAACCAAGTACATTTTACTATATTCTTTAACAATAAAAATAGATATGATACAAACAAGGACAACTCTCCAGGCTTGTTAAATGGCCACAAGGCTCACTGGGCTGTGATTTGTGGAGCAATAAAAACTACAGATGACTTTTATGTGATAGCAAGACACGGTAAAGCAAAAAACGTGAATATATGGAAGCTCTCACATATAGCCAAGAGCAACAAACAACTGTTAGACTTTGCTCCTGATCAAGTGCATCAAGAAATTGAGTACAAATTGCCAGAAGGAGGGATTAGTGGGCCTGATGGGCTGAATCAAAAGTGTTTGCTGATTAATTTAGAAAAACAGGTGTGATATTGTGATGCTAACTGTTTTAACCTATTTTTGATACTAACATTAATTACCTACTAAATTAAGTCAATTTGAACTGGCAGTGCAATAAATAAATATAACAAAACTAAACAGAATATTCAAATATTTTGTAAATGACATTTATTTCTGACAAATTTGACATTTGAGTTCTAGGACATTTTGCGCCATCTATTTTGTAAGCTCCTAACGCGAAAAATAATTATTGCCTAGTCCTAGTGCTCTGTGTTAATGCTTAGCAAGATCAAGTGAAATTAAAATCACCACTAAGAGATGGCTCTGTAAGGATTCCAGTGGCATACCTAAAGTAATTGGCATAGGGAAAACTATTGAAAATCGCTGGAGGTACATATAGATAATAAGGGGAGCTATTGTACACCATAAATAATAATTATACAAGGTGATGCGCAAAGCCATGGCAACATTTAAAAGCCAACTACGTTAAAAAATAATAATAATAGGAAAAGGTAAACGTGGAACCTAAAATGCTCCTATGCGGTATACAGGTGGTGTTGAAATTGAATCTACGAAATTGAAAAAAATCTATATTTTATAGTTAGTATATCAAGGGCATAAACAACACACTAAAAATTACTGCGACTCTAAATCAGGTGGGTGTAAAAGGCGAGATATCTACCCACGTCCGAGAGTGGATTGAAGAAAGGAAGGATGACGTGCCCTCTAGAAGGCCCAGTGGTTTCAGATTTCAAGTAGCTTTTAACTTATTCATTCATCACTGTAAAGTACCCATTCAAACCGCCCGTTACCTCAATTTTATGTAAAAAATTATAGCAGTAAACAGACGCGGGTATTACGTATCCTGAAAAGTGACATTTCGTCGGTATTTTTGACATATCGTTGTTTTTTTGTGCTATAAGGTAGGTTTTTCTACAAGATGTTAACATAGCACAAGCGGTTGTGAACTCGTTTTGTAGTTGTACGTGTTGCTTAAACTTCAGCGAACAGCGATCATAGCAAAGTAATCGTGGAAAGAACTATTTGCACACTAAAAACTTCCTAGTCTGCAAGATGACATTTCGTCATTTGCTTCGCACATTTTAGTAGTGACGAGATATTAACCATTCAAAATACCAAGCACACGCAGCAATCTATAATGTGTAGGTACTTGTTACACTACAAACGCGTGCCTTTTGGCCTTACGCTCACGTGACAAAAAAGGTGCTGTTTTAGTCAGTTCCCCACCTGTATTACGTGACCTAAGAAGTGACAGTGTATCGATTTTTAATGACATTTTGTAGGTTGTTCCGAAAAATTGTCACCTTGGAACTACTTTTAGCTGTCATTCACTTCATGTTCACATATACTGCCTAAACGTTATGACACTTGAGGCGGTTTGGTTTGACTCGCCATCTAGCACCACAGGATTCCACTGTGCCCAGTATGACTTGATTTGCTTGTGAAAGTGGAGTGATTTCTTTCCAGGTTGGTCGATGGTCCTCCTTCCACTGCTTCAGCCATTTGATATCAGGGTCATGCTCCTGATCTTTACGGATACTGTCTTCTCGCTGAACAGAATGCACTTTTTCTGGTTCAATTTCACGCTTGCACCTTGAAGCCTCAGAAATAGCTCTTTTGAATTCCTCAGATGCTCGTTCAAGGGCCCAGTATGACTTGATTGCTTGTGACAGTGGGGTGACTTCTTTCCAGGTTGGTCGATGGTCCTCCTTCCACTGCTTCAGCCATTTGATATCAGGGTCATGCTCCTGATCTTTACGGATACTGTCTTCTCGCTGAACAGAATGCACTTTTTCTGGTTCAATTTCACGCTTGCACCTTGAAGCCTCAGAAACAGTTCTTTTGAATTCCTCAGATGCTCGTTCAATGTCTTGCCCACCACGATATGATGCGGTCCAGGTAGACGAGGCATGTCGACATATTATAACCGTCAATGTTTTAGCGTCAATGTATCTGATGTTTTCGATACATCGATGTATTGTTGCCATCTCTACGTACAATTCGCACTACATGAGTTATACTGTCGATTATGGTTCTTGGCGCTAACATCACAGTGCCATGCGCAATAAGTAAGCAGATTGACTAACGGTACCATGTGCGTAGCTTAACTGTCCTAAGCGAAATTGCACACTGTGCAAGCCGCAGCTGCTACTCGCTCTTGCACACACACACATGAATCGGGTGATCGTCGGGAGGATCGTTTTTTTCACTTACTTTTTCAAAATACAGAGTGTTGACATTGTATCTTTATCATCAGACACTATTTAGCTGTTTTTCATACCGAAGATCAACATGGATAGACACATATCAGGTGCCCATAACAAGCAAGTTATCATACTAGCAGTGACAAGCATGAGGAAGACTGGGTAGTTTTTAGGGCGCAAACAGTCATTCCAAGTTTGCTCACTATGATCGTTGTGAACGTCCATCTATGAAGGAAACACTCAACTAAACTACAAGTATTATTGGTTGCATAGTTTTGTGAGGCTGAGTTATCCGTGTCTGTAGCTTTTGTCTCTGAGAAGAAAGTTGGTTCAATAACAAGATCGTATCTGGATGATTATGTGTATTGGTCTGCATGGGTATAAAATCAGTTATATTTGCTGTGTGAAAAAATCATTACTGAATATGCGGAATATGACGGGTTATTTATAATATGTTGTGCTTTCTGAAGAGAGGTTATGTTCAAAGTTATAAATTAGGAAAAACTGAGGAGAGTTACGGGAAATTATCACCGCGTCCGCGTTGTGTGTAATTACTGTTAGCATGTATATGGCTTGTAATTCGACAGTGTACAGTGAATATAATTATTTCTCATCTCTCTCATTTTTTAAATTCAGCAAATTTGTAAATGTAATTTCCAGAATGGATAAGAGAAAGTGGATGAGCAACTACTTTCTAGCTTTGAATCTCAATTAAGTATATTTGAGACAAGAACCCAATGTATTTATCATCAACACATACAATTTACCGACCTCCAGTAATGCCATCTCAGAAGCAGATTTTACAACACATCAGAGCCACAGATTGATAACAAGCCTCATGACGTTTAGGCAGCACGTACAACTAAGTGCTAAGTCACCGTCTTGTCGGAAAACCTACATAATGTCAAAAAAAACAGCATAATGTAAAAAAAAATCGGCACAATGTCACTTTTCAAGATACGTGATAACCGTGCGGTAGTGCATCTGGAAACGTCGCCTCGCCTTGATACTTAACCTCGTCAGACGTGGCACCACGGTCAGAGCAAAGGAAACACTGTGCTGTAGCGCGGCAGAAATACGTGTCATACCATATCAGAAGAACACAACACTCACCAGGTACGACGCGATCCGTCTGTTGAGAATATTTGTATACGTTTTAATGGCTTATGAAATGTGAAATATGTCTGATAGGTGCGTAGAATTACCAATGCTGGGGGCGTAAATGTAATAAAAAAATTGAAATGACTACTCCCCACCCACCCCTATAGCCCCCATCCCCAAAATGTTTTTACATCTAAAATTTTTTCAAAGATGATCAGGAACCTCTGAGACATAAAAAAACGAAGTTTGAACGATTTTTTCATTCCGTCAGTCGACCGATTTTCAAAGACTACAAAGTTTTGGCGTCCATGGTACCTATAGTAGTAACCTTGTGTAAGAATTTCAACAATCTAATCGGTACTTAAATGTTATATGAGGTGACAAGATTAGCGGTCAGACTGACAGCAATACCGACGGAAATGAGTGACATGGTTTTTTGTGATATACTTGACATAGAACATCTAAAAAACATAATACCTTATTTTCTAAAATTTTCGCGATTACAATATTTCCCCGCAAGTAGGAGCGGGAAGTAATAAACTTCAATAACATGTCACTGTATACAAAGTCATCAAAGTTCTCTCGCAATTCCTGCTGCACAGCTTTGCTTTCCGCATGTAAACAAGGTGGAAGATGGATGACCCTGTGACGCCAGTTCGCAACAAGCAAATCCCCTTTAAATATTCAAAGTGTAAATCCCTGTTGATTAATTGTCACCACGTCCGGCGACATTCCCTCTTCCCATATCAACTAGCTTGTAATCCCGATTCGCCTGGCTGATCGGATATTTGGATCGCAGTTAAAGATTCAGTTAATAAAATAAGGATTAGTGTCCCTATGCTTCATGTAGATTAGTGATACAAAGTCACCCTAGGATGATTCGTGGGGCAACGGTGATTTATGGAATAACTACGTGTTTTACACACTGCAAAAAATGCCTATAAAATCACATTCTATATCATGTAAATATACTAAGTGACATATAAATCCGAACACCCAGTTTAAATGGTTCTATTTTAATAAAATTTTGTGTAAGTACTTAATGAACCATAATAAGTAAATGATAAAAATTTCAAAATGATTGCACTGCTTTAAAGCCCTTTGACCTTTAATAATGTGTGGATGCACCCTGACGTACTACGCATTGTCCAACTCGCCTAGGCATGCTTCTCATCAGGTGGTTAATGTCCTCCTATGGTATCTCATTCCAGGCAACCGCCAACTCCTCTCGAAGTGCTTCTAGAGTCTGAGGAGGACGTTGCAAATTGACCAATCTCCTACCCATCATATCCCACACGTGTTCAATTGGGGATAAGTCGGGAGATCTTGGTGGCCATGGTAACAATGTGACATCATTATGTTGAAAGAAGTCTATTGTGACTCTTGCAACATGTGGTCGGGCATTATCTTGTTGGAAAGTTGGATCTGCCAGGGTGTCAAGATGGGGTAAAAGATGGGGTTCTAGAACTTCGTGGATATAATGCTGCGCGTTCATGTTACCTCTGATGAAGATTAAAGGTGACCTGGAACCATAAGCTATAGCACCCCAAACCATAACTCCAACAGTGTGATGAACATGTCTTTCAACAAAAAACTGTGGATTCCTCCTTTCACCACGTCGCCTTCAAACCCTGGCACGATCATCGTGCATGCCTAAACAAAATCAAGACTCGTCACTAAAGACAATACTGTTCCATTCCTGAGCCCAGAGTGACCGTTGTCTGCACCACTCAAGGCGATTACGTCGGTGTTCTCGAGTTAAAGGGAGGACCCAGTGTGGCCGGTATGAAAACAAGCCAAAACTTCTCATTCGTCGGTAAACACTTCGCATGCCAATAGGTCTTCCGTGTTCTGCAAACCATTCATTTGCAATGGACCTGGTAGTGGAGATTCGGTCCCTTAAGGCCAATAATCTTAGGCGGCGATCTTCACGGTCTGTTGTTCTACGGCGGTGTCCAGTGCCCCTTGCCCTTTGCGTACGGCCTTCTCGAAGCCATGCCTGACAACACCTAACCACAGTGTCTACACTTCTTTGCACTCTAACTGCAATTGCCCGAAAAGAAAGTCCAGCTTCCCGAAGTCCCACTATACGGCCCCCATCAAACTCACTAAGTTGACGAAATCGTACAGGTCTCCGTACTCTAGGCATCGTAACCGATCGTAAAGGATGTCAAGAACCAAAATCCTCCAACGTTGATTCTTCACTGCGGCTGAAATATTCATTTTTAGAGCGTTAGTGAATTAAAAAAAAGCAGTATAAAAACTGAAATGTCCAACTGATAAGGCTGAAAATTTTTTCACTTGTTATTTACAGTATTTACATTCACCAACTTTTATGAAAATAAAACCATTTAAACTGGGTGTTCGGATTTATATGTCACTTAGTATACTTTTTAGCCCTAAACAAATAGTCTAGCTTTTTTATATTATGTAAAAATATACAATATATGTTGTTTAAAATATCTTTTACATAACTTAACGTTGGTTACAAAATCACCTACGTTAAGTTGCGCGATTATTTTTATCTACCAGCGTGCTATAAGTACCACTTTTGGGTACGCATTTCAGTGTGGAAAGTGTCACTTTTCCGCACAGCGTATGGGAAAGTAACTTTGCAGCAAGGCAAGTGAAAATATCAGAGGGTGTTAAATTTAATCATGGTTTGCTGTGATTGTCAACATAAATGAAATCGAGCTGTCGCATTCTGGAGACTGGTTGACAATTTGATGCTCGGTTAAATTGTTGCAATATATTGTTGTTTTTCTTGAAACGCGCTGGCAGAAAAAAATGTTGTTCCTAATTCTTGCGGACTTCCACCCCTCGTCGTTCAGCCAACTGCAGTCGCGAGAGGAATAGTATTACCTTTCCACACTTGTTAGAAAAATAACTATTTCGGTCCTCAATTCCATGCGTGACATCACTATAACCGCGTTATCTTGGATCTCATAACGCTACTTGTAGTGGGATTTTCGATGACTTTCTCAATTTTTTATCAGCTGTACATAATTTATATACCCTGTGTGGTCAGTAAAGTGATAATAACGCGGTGTGCTGTTATGGCATGTAGGACTATAAGGCTATTTATGAGATAGGATATGTAGGCAATCAGTAATTATCGTGGTAACGTCATAATATCATTAGAAACCAAGTATAGTCAACGCCAAACAAAGTGGCGTGCACGTCAACAAGGTGGGTGTGTTGAAAAATTTACATTGTCGCCAAACTTTTTGTAAAATAATAAAATTTATTATTTACATATCTAGGTTTATAAGCAATATTAACCTCAAATGAGAACAAAAATAATAGTATAATAAAATTATAGATCTGTACTTGCATAATCATTAAGTATGACAATTATTGATCAGATGACACTATGAAACTACCATATTTAATTGATAGCTTAAAGGTACTGCATAAAAATCCAAATGGGGTCCTCCAAATTTTATGCATGGTATTTATTTTACAGAATTCATACAGAAAAATGCATTCTAAAATTAGGTAAGCTACTGGTGTAAGCTTTTTCCGTACAATAAAGTTAGTCGGAGTTTCTTTCTTCAGCGCTGTCTGAATCTGAACCTTCATCACTCTCAAAGTTGATTATTAAAGGTTCGATGTCTGGTCGATCAAAAATTCGTTCTCTTTCATACCATTTAAAAATTTCTTGCTCAGTATGTCGAACACTATTTTTCCACATGTCTGGGGTAACCGTTTGTAGAGCCTCGTTCCACATATCCAAACAGTCTTTTTCACTGTTACCATCTCTACCAATATGTCTGTTATAGTAACCTTTTGCTATGCCCCAAATTAACTCAATAGGGTTAAATATACAATGGTAAGGAGGCAGACGAAGAACTTTGTGCCCATGTTGTTCCGCCAATTCATCAATCACGTATATTTTAGGTGGTTTGTTTCTAAAAAAGCAGTTATTTTAAGAATAGGAATAAACAAAAGAAATATAAACTGTCGACCAAAATATATATAATTAAGAAGCATTATGTACCGAGCAACAATACTCAATAGCTCTGTTTTAAACATTGTGTTTAAAAATGGTATGTTTTGATTTGTCAACCAGTCTTGGATATTTTTTTTTGTCCATGCAGTGTTGGGCACTTTGTTCAATATCATGCTGTGATAAGGGGCGTTATCCAGTATAATCATAGATGGACTCTCCAATTTTTCTAATAACTGATGTTGAAACCATTTCAAAAAATTGTCCTGGTTCATCTCTCCATGGTAATCGCTCAATTTTGTTTTCGAAGAAAATATCGCTTCACTACCCTCAATAAACCCATTTTCATTTCCAGCATGTAATATAATGTATCTAAAATATATTAGTTTTAAATTTTATAGTGCAAATTGTGTAAAAGTACATACCTTTTACCATCTGTTTTAATAGCTTTCACGCTTTTTTGGTTTCCATTTTGCCAAGAGCGACCTATGGTCCCATTTTGAAATATCCAAGTTTCATCGAGGAAGACAAACTGGTATAAGGCCTCAACCTTGGCTTGATTGGATTGCCTTAGAAATTCGACCCTTTTCAAAGCTATACTTGGTAGTTCCATGAGCCCTCGTCGCGGATTGTCCTTAAGCCACTTAAATCCAAGATCTCTAAGCAACCGCCTTAAAGACGTGGCACTACCATCAAATAATGCCCTATCTTTTAATCGAGACCATAAAGTTTGTATCGTAACTTGTTCTTCTGAAACCATGTGTAATATGACATTATAATTTAGTTAACAAATTAATGCAAATTTCTGATAAGTTATTATAATAAGATCTTACTTTTGTGATACATATTATAGATCACTTCTCGAATGGCACTTGTATCCAATGTCGCTGTGTTGGTTACACGTTTAATATAACTCCGCTTTTTCTTGGGCGATTCTAAATTTGCATCACTTTTCACACCCTCGGAAATACGACTAACTGTCCTTAAACTAATTTTTAAAGCAGCAGCAACACGCTACAAAAAATGAAATAAAATGTCACTATTATTAATATACATTACATATAATTATTAGTAACCTACCTCTTGAACAGCATTTAAAGGCAACAAAGGCCCGTTGTTGTCCCTTTCTTGCTCAAAGTAGTGCATTAACGAGGCCACGAGTTCCTTACACCGACTATTTAACTGTTTGGGCATCTTTATATACCAAAATTGCCTTTATCTACTCGTAAAATGAATAATTTTGTTTTGAAACAAACAGTTGTTGATTTACAGTATGCGGGGCCAAAGGATTTATAAAGATTTGAAATGCCACAAATTGATTCAGTGTCAAAATTAATACAAATGTCAGTTCCCAGTTTAAATAAGTTTCAAGGTGACAATGTGTCAAGGCTGCGAAATCGGTTTAGTGCGTTTACATGTCGATAAGTGATTGGAGCGTTTGCAAAACATTTTATTTCGCATAATGTGTCTAAATTTATCAGAAAGCAACTTATGTGATATTTTAATAACAATGTTTATATGACTATTAACCATAATAAGAGAGTAATGACCATTTTACAATTTATATATCACATTAATATGAAACTGCAATAGAGCAATTGTTTGTGATAGAAACCTAGGCATTAGGTCGGGGAATTTTTATCGTGATGACGTGCACGCCACTTTGTTTGGCGTTGACTATAAATTGTTTATAAATTTGTGGTTATCGCAGATGACCAGTAGGCCGCAAAGGGAAGAGAAATGAGGTTTGTGGAATCTCAAAGGTGCATTTGTGAAAAATCCTTAGAATCCAAAAGGTGAGAATGAGACACTTAAGATTGCATTTTCTCCGATATACAAGAAACCATAACCATTTTGAAAATTTGGTGGGCGAAATATCGGTAACTTATTTTATTCCCTACATCTGTGGTTTTATTTGCCAGCGAGTAGTAGTCTAGTTTTGGTTGAATTGTTTAAAAATATAAAAATGGTGGATGCCGAGTTTGCACATTCACCATAGTTTAAATATTTCTTGAATACACGACATCCTTGGTGGTATCTTCGAATAATCTCTTGAAGAAGTCTCCATCGCATCAAGATAGCAATATTAGTATAAAATATTAGTATGTGACAATACTACTTCCTTCATAGATTATATGGTATATTTTCTGGAGGAAAACTTTTTACTTGTAAAGACATCTTGGCACCACCACATATCTGGATGGAACTAATGAAGGTTCACTTAAAGGCAAGTTCCATAGATAATTTTCGAAGATTTTGTGTTGCTTGATACCAACCCCGTGAATATAAAAGGTGGATATAGTGTTTAGTAGTAGATACGTTGGTGCCGTTTCGCGCGTTTGACCATTTTTTATCACGTAACTTTGACAGTTTCCCCTAACCTCTGGAGGATTGGAAATTATTTTTCATTTACTGTCTTCGGAAACATCGTCGACCAAGTACGTAGGACTGAAGATAAGTAGATAATATTTTTAATTGGTATCAATAGTTTGTTCGATTTCTTTTATTGTCCGCGAGAGAGACTATATAATTTCGTTATCTGCTTTACTACACCTTCCAAATAGAAACATCATGAAGGGACACCCTGTATATCGCGACCTATCACGTATTTTTATACGCAACCCCAAACAATGAAGTCATAGCAACAACTGCCAACTGGTGTGCGGCGATATTCGTATAGACGTACGTCTCTATCCTTTGACAAAACGCCATATACTGTTAGGCCCACCCTGCGGGGCGAACACAGGACACACGCAGCAGCCCCGCGTTTCCAGGGTAGAAAGATAAGGGCGGCATGCCGGGAGGTCCGCCGCGGAGCCCCAGGGGTCCCGTCGGAAAACTTTTTCAGACCCAGCGCCCCACGGCTGCTTGTTTGGGGCGAGGGGGTATGTCCACTTCGAAAAGCATCAACGTCTGCGTATACATACTCGTATGTACTGTGCACGATGCAGGGCGTAGATTGTTTAGCAGCGATGGGTGCAAGGTCAAGACGAAGGTTCCTCACCAATACAGATACGACTTTTCGAGACTGATTCTAATCGAATTTCGACCCTTAAAATTATTTTCGATATCGTCTTACCATCATATAACAATGATAATTTGGAAACTGATATCGGCAGGGTTATTACGTAAAAAACCTATATAATGCCAACTTGCTGACTAGATAGTTCATAGCGTGCAAATATGATACTTCATTCCGCTTATGAGCGCTGTCAGTGTCACCAAAAGCGTCATCTGTGGAGGAATGACTCAACGACACGGTCAACGACCAGCTGCATGTCAGTTCCTCAGCATGCTTTGTTGGTTGCAGAATGTTGAGAGTCTGTAGAGTTTATCTCTGAGAGGTTGTGAAAGAGAAAATTGGCTGAGTAGCAGAGTAGCATGATCGCATCTAGATGATTGTATGTTGATTGTGTGAATTGGTCTGCATGAGTATAAAATCAGTGATATTTGCTATGTGAGAAAATTGTTACTGAATATGCTCCATGAAGTATATCTAATAGCTGTACCAGACGGGTTATTTGTGTTGTTCTGCCTGAAGAGAGGTTATGTAACAAAGTTATAAATTACGATTTTTCCCGGCTTTTCGCGTTTCGATAAGCTGATGGGAAATCACCAACATGTCCACGTTGTGTGCACTCTCTGGTACCCAGCCTTTGACATACACTGTAGTCCAATGTCGTTTTGTGAAGTGAATGGTTAAGGATGATCGAGCGTACCCTGAAAGGGACATACGCAATGACATACTTCTAGAAACAATCTATCTTGTTTAGTAAAACGTAGGCAAAATGCTTACATAATTTTTTGAATGGAATTATTGTCATTTTCATTTAGATAGGGTCTCACTACGCGTTGCCGATTGACGTTCTCGTTATGGTAGTAACATTTCGTTTTATTTACCTGTTCCGCGAATATATTTATCGATATTTTCGACACTTTATGTTATGTGTAATGTTTATGAGGATGTAAGTGAGTGAGCCTCATATTTTCAGTTCCAGCAGAAGCAATCTCAGAAGGCGTTTTTTGACTGTTGGATGGTTTATACATACTTACTTTATGTCTGTTTCCTACAGACTACAGTTCTTTTTTTGTATGAATTTGTTTTTTCTTGCCTGTTAATTGGAGTAATCTGTTAAGGCAGTGTATGGAATCTAAATAAGTAAATAAATTTTATTGTACTTTGTTGAACAAGTCATTACAAATGCAAGAAAATTTATGGGGCAATATGTTCACGACCTCTTATTCCAAGTCCAATACAGTACCTAGTAGCCTTGCAACAAGCGATTAAAACTAAAACAAATATACCCTCGTTTTTCTCAATAAAAAACGGTCATTCCTATATGTACTAAATGATCCCTCTAGTATTTCCAGTCTGTTTAGCCATAACAAGCGATCTGCGTGCGTATTTCTTTAACCACGTTGTGCTTGTAAGGCCCCACACGGCTTTTCCACTCGTTATCATTCAGACCTACCGGCTGGCTATTTTTCCAAAACAACCAACGATTATGATGCCAATAGACGCAAGCGATCACGTGCCAACCTACTGCGGTGGCCTTTCACACTAAAGGGCCCCCAAGGGCGGCCCGCGACTGACGTTTGCAGTGGCGGCTCTTGCAAAGGGAGCGCAAAATTTCAAACCTTATAATCAGTACCTATAAGTGTACACCAGGTGTTTAATCCTTTCAATAGAACTTTATTTTGAGAAAGAACAACGTAATTTTACGGTTGGGACGAATGGGTCCCAGCAAAAATCGGCATTCAAAATACGACTTTTCATTTTTTTCTAGTGTACGTGCAAAATACTTTATCTACATAACAAATATCAATGGATTAAATAATAGAAAACAACTTTTTTCTTTATTAAGTAATAAACAAAAAAATACAAAATGGGACACATTTGTTCCAATAGTACGGAAAAAATGGATACAAATGTCCCACAAGTAACAAAAATACTTATAGTTAAAAATGTAACTTGAACGAAAATAAAAAACCTGTGTTTATCAAATCTTCTGCCAGGTTTACTAGAAATGGAATAAACGGAACATCATGCTTATAAGCTTCTTTGAATAGTATCCATTTGAGGCTGATGTTAACAGTAGCTTGTAAAATGTTTTTCTCCGCCATTTTTGAGACCAATTTCGTATAAGCTAGACATTTGATATGAAAGATTAACACCTCCCATAAATCTATTATATGCTTTTATAGCTTCCGGACAGGACACGTTAATTTTGGTTCCGCCTTTTTGGTGTCTACAGAACCCATTTCGTCTTTGTGACAGTTTGAAAGAATCAAAACCAATTTAGAATCTTTCCATAGATGAGCGATAACACCCTGATCACTACATAATGTTTGGTAATCTCCTTTTACCATTTTTTTCTTTTCAAACTGCGGCAGGTTTTTTTTATTTGACATACATGCCCCAACAGCAGCAACATAACTTGTTTACCACTCTTTACCTTAATGTTCCTTCTTTGTGTTCCTCGTCTTTCCCAGCATATATGTTCATATCATATTCATATCCAGTGTCAGAATCGCATCTCTCCCAAATCTTAATTATTGGTTTTAACGGAAGATATTGTTTCAGCAAGGAACGACCTTTAAATTTCACCATTGACTCATCTATACCTTGAAAACCACTGTCAGTTCGAGCTTTTGGAAATGTATGTTTGAGACACAACATAACTTCAGAAATGTAATAGAGTTTGTCTGAATTTTCTGCTTTTTGAGGGTGGTTGTAATACATTTTTGATATAAGAAGAAAAAATCTGTCTCTAGAGATGGCATTTTTAATAGCCTCATTTCCAAGTGATTTGTTAGATGGCCAATACACTGGACAACAAATTTTAGTTTTTTAATTGTATGTTGTGGGAAAAGTGCACTTCTTTGTTAATTTTAGGGCGCTGAATCCAAAAATGACAATGAAATAAAAAAATTAGTTGCGGTTTAGAAAAAAAACTTTTTACTTTTAAGGATATATTAAATAAAGTAACAAGATTCATATACTTATAAGAATCACTATATGCGCTGTCTTTTTGGTGTTCTTTTACGGATCGTTTCTGGAGCATCTCTACCAAGAGTCCAACAGTAGTCTGCAAGCATGGAAGGATTCCACTTTCCCTGGTACCTTTTTCCATTGTTGAAATATCCTGATGAAAACGTTCGCCGTGCTCATCACTTACGGCTACGCAATTGTCATGAATAAAGTCCAGGTGTGAGTGTAGGAAATGTATCTTGAGAGACATATTACAGCCCATCTTTTGATACGATGACAGCATATTTTTGACAAGGGTTTTATAGTTGTCAGCTTTTCTATTTCCCAAGGAATTAGTGACCACCAGACGGAAATCATTCCAAGCAGTTTTTTCAATACCAGTTAAAGTGTTTTCAAACTGTGTATCTTTCAAAATATTTCGAATCTGTGGCCCAACAAAAATACCTTCTTTAACCTTTGCCTCACTTAGTGTTGGAAATTTCTGACGCAGGTATTGAAAAGCTGACCCATCTCTATCTAATGCCTTGACAGAGTTTTTCATTAGGCCCAACTTGATATGCAGTGGTGGTAATAAAATTTTTTTCGAATCTACTAATGGCATATGCTGTACATTTTTTTGACCTGGCTCTAGGAATTGACGAACAGGCCAGTTTTCTCTGGTGTAATGAAGTGCCTTTGCCCGACTGTCCCATTCACACAAAAAACAGCAAAACTTTGTGTAGCCTAGCTGCAGCCCAAGTAAAAGTGCAACAACTTTCAAATCGCCACAAATATGCCATTGGTGCTCATCGTATTTTATGCATGTCAATAGGTACTTCATATTGTCATATGATTCT